GTTTTAACTTTACGTTTAATTATGCAATAGTTGGTCTGAAGTTGTAACGGCAGTTTCTGAGAGTTGCGGCGATGTAAGTGATAAAGCAGCAATGAATTTTGATGTATGACGTTTTTCGGCAAAAACAGAAATTCTCATATGAACATATGGCGAGTAGAGTCTGAAGTGATATCTCAGAGAAACGTAAGTGTGAAACGTGGCGTAGGTTGATGTTAAACTTGATTTCGGCTACACGAAAGTTCGCCCGACTTTGCTACTTCTCCAGAAGTAATTCATAACTTTTACCACGGCCCAGTTCAATAACGTCTGTTCCGCTAGCGCGCGGTTCATACTGATAATTCATTTTAAAATACTTCATAAAAACCAAAGGGATACAGCGTCCGAGAACATTCGACGCTAAATCAGGAAACTTCCGGACGCAAAAGACGGAAATCTCGTAAAATTACATTAGGGCAGTCATTTTCCTCCTCTGATTGCGGCCGGGGGGTTCTGGAAATTGCACGAAGTAATGGATATTCAGGAACATTCCCGCTTCGACATACCTAGTCCCTATAGAAAGTTAAGAAAAACTTGGTCATAACTCTGAAAATCCGCGCCGATTCGCCATTTCTCTCGTCTATTTTTTTCCAATAATTGTTTCGGAATAAAGAGAGAAAAATCGTGTAGTAGTGCAAGATACATGCAGGACATACAACAACCTGATCTAAAAAGACGAGACGAAATTTTCCGTCTCTTCGACGAAAGACGGTAGTTCGATAGATCGTAATAACTATTCTTACCCACCACGTTTCGCACTATGGAAGGCCGTCCACTTCGCGTAAACACCAGCATAAATTCTGGAACGGCCCTTCCCGTTCCCTACGCCATTCGCGTTACACCCCGGCCATCTCGCTCCATCGTTAACTGTTACGGGACCATCGAGTGTTTCTCACCCTCTACTTAGCCAACCCGCTCGTTTCTTTCAGGCGAAACAAACGAACGGGCGGTTTTCCATTTCCCCGATCGATTTTGTCGATAATGGCGACAATAGTGGAAATAGTGAGAGCCATTAGTCCGGTGATTAATGACGCGCTTATGATCGAACAGAAACGCTGCGCTTTCGCATCCCAACGCTCGCCTCCATTCTACTGGAGAGATTTTAGGAATCTGGATTCTTCTTTTTTTCACAACACCGCGAAGAGAGCATTATTGTGACTCTGCGAAAATCGCAGTAATAAGAGACACGGGACCATTATTCACAAGGATGTGAGCGAGTGTTTTGCGGGCACAATAGACAGTGGGAAGCACACGAACGTCGAGATTATTTGTTAAATGGTACGATAAGAAGAGAAGGCTAAATCGCGCGACATTCACATATCGATAAGTGCATATAGCTTATCGTAGCTTTGAACGAATATTTTACATATATATTTTAACATATTATTATAGAGAGTCGATTAAACGAGCCTCAAATGTAACGATCGAGAGGAAATGTCAAATTGGCATGTGTTTCCTTTTGGCGCGAGTAATTGGAAAATGTGTATAATATCGTACTTAACATCGCTGAAGAGGGCGAGGAGGTACTTCCTTCGGTAATCGCCGTTGTGTATCGATCGTTGCCATGTACAGTCGTCATTAAAGTCCGAGCGCGTATAAAGACGGGAATTAAAATAGTTATCAAAGCAACGCGGGAGGGAGGGCGTGCAATTAAGATATCCGAATTGGAGTCCGCTCTCAGACCCGCGCGGTATAATCGATTGCCTTTGTGGCACCTGTCGAACGACGGGTAAAACCCGATTTTCAGATTCCATTGAGAGACGCGAAAGCGTTGGTGGCCGGGAAGACGAGGAGGCAATGTGACTGACAGGCTTCATGGTTTATTCGACAAGTCGAAGAGTACACAGGGAAGCCTATAACATCGTATCCAGCTTGCGCTTTGGGTTAACAGCCTGGGTGTCCGACGATGTACCATGATGCATGACGCGGTGTCGAGTTCCAATTCGCCGGGCATCCATGAAAGCAGGCTCTGTGCCTGATGTAAAATATCGGCGATTCGGGATGAAACGAAGCACGCTGCGTCCAGTTTGTGTACATGTGGTAGATGAGGACCGCCGATTGCGCCTCTTTGAACGATTACTTTTAACTCGATGTACAAGCGCACGGTTTTACGGCCGCGTGCATAAGTAACACGTGTGCGTATTGTTAATATGAAAAATATCAACGTTATATATCAAGATGCTCTTTTGACGTGGACTAAGCGAAATGCGTTGGCTGGAAATCTTCCAAAACGTTAAGGAATACAACTACGAGAAAAACCTATCTCTAATTAAAAGGCGAATGTATTTTATTTTGTATGTCGAGAGTTGTTTTTAGCAGGATATTAATTCGCTGGTTTCGGATCGATGACCGGAGAATCGATTATACCTACGTGTCACCATACTTCGTGAAATCGATCGGGCTAGCTGTGTCCTCTAAATAATGTTTGCGCTTTTATAATTTAAATACATTATGGTAGAAATGTAATATATTTTGATTTATATTTTATTACTAACGATAACACGAAACATTTATTCGTACAAATATTTTAGATCAATGTTGCATCACACAATTAGAATACATAACTTCATCAAGGTTACGAAACAGTTAGGTAAACAGCGATATACACATCAATTATGATTGGCTTCGGATATTGATGTAATTAGGACGTATAAACGTTATTAAATATTGTTTATTATCGTATATCGATTTTCTGTGTCCTCGTATGGAATCGCATATATAATAAAATCTAATATATAATCATGAATTAATATATAAAGTTTACTAAAATATGAAAATAGATATTAACATAACAATGCACCTAAATATCATTTAATGTGGTCGTTTTGATTCATCAATTAATAATTAATAAAATAATTAATAATTATTAATCAATTAATAATTAATAAAATAATTAATAAAATAATTAATAAAATAATAAATTAATAATACATTCGCAAGAAGCTTCTCACTCACCGTGTCTATTTTAATGTAATTCTCATGTAATTATATTTGAAAAGCGAACGCAACAGAATAACCAATGCATGAAAAATATTTGAATTTTTGAGAGAAAATATTAGCTTATAATTTCTAGTTGCAAAAGTAAATCCGGTATATAAAATATCATATAAATTTTAGTTGTACGTTTTATTACATATCGTTAAAGTCCGAGATAAAAGAAAAGTCAATATTTAAGTGACATTGTATGGTGGATGAGAAAATAACGATATAGGACACGTATATAGGAACATTCTTGAACATTCAAAGCGGATTTAGGAAGGGTACCTTCGTAGATACCTACTCGATGAGGATTAGGAAGTGATTTGCAGGCGATTGCCGATAGCGATGGAAACACGAAAGCCGGAATTTATCGTGATTGGAGCGAGTTCTCGTAGAGAGAGTCATGAAGCTTCGAGAGCCGTTATCTCGTGCATGCGCCAGATACGCACGAACTATCAGTTTTCATGAACACACTCTATGACGTAAGTACATGCTCTCATTCTTGGAGGACATATTTATCGTTACGTGCAATATCCTCTTTCAACAAGTACACGCAAGTTCTATAGATCTTTAAGGTCTATAAATCCGTGGGAAAAGTCCGAAGTATTGGAAATGTACGAATAGCAGGACGTAATCAAGTTGATTGGACACGTTAATTAAGAAACATCACATATTTTACGTCACACGTTTTGAAAGTCAGATCAATTCCTTTAAGTAAGAATTTCTTCTCCTGTCACGAAACCTCATTTCTAATTTCGTAAGAATGTAACGACCCTGGCATTCCGTCTCCCACTACTGACTTTCGTGTCGTATTCTCCCATGTTCTGCCGAAAATCTTACGTTCGCGCATATCCGCCTGGACCGCGCGGCGATTATGGCGACTCATTAGCTGCGCCTGTAAATCATAGCGGTCTCCGCGACGAAGACGGGAGATGCGCGCTGAATGTGGGAGTTTCGGAGCAAAACACACGAGCGAGCGAGAGGCGGAGGACAAAGCTGTGGTCCAGAACGGGACGGACGGCGCGAGCGTGTCCGAAGATGGCCGAGCACGAGCGGAGGAAGCCGACGCGACTCGCGAGGGTTCCTCGCGATATTCAATGGTTTCAGTACCGAGCCGCCGCGGGTCAGGACTCGATGTGGCTTCATCGCGAGGGAGGTTTATTATCGTACGCCTCACGACGGTACGCGACGCGGGTAGGTGATCCATGAATCAAAATCGGAGCAAAAACGCGTGGTGTCATCATTCACGGGTCGTCCATAGATCACCTTCGCGATCTGCTTTGTAAGTGCCGATCGATGATCCGGGAGTTACGATCCGCAAAGAACGCCGCGGCGAGATCGCGTTTTTCCCGGTGTTTAAGCTGAAATTAACGCGTCAGTGAATTTCGCGAGTCTTCACTTAATTTTTTTTTTAATGCTGCTTTTGAGATTTTATATTTTCGGGTGAATGTATGATCGACTTACGAGTGCGTGCGTAACGCACATGCTCGCTCGGTGCACGCTCGGTCGTCGCGAGATCGAGGGGTAAGTGCGGGAAGATCAAAAGATCGACGCCCTCGATCAACCACGCACTGTGCTCCAAGTATAAAATACTGCAATTCCTGTGTCGCACTATGTTCGATTAATCAGCAACGAGCGTCACAGAAGTCTATTTGCGGCGTTTGAATCGACACGCAGTGTCGATGCGTTTGATATAACTTCGCCAGCAACTTTCATACGCATGCCGTTCATCATTGATTCGTGACTGTTGGTCGATGAGACCAATGTGCCGAAATATAAAAGCGAAATATAGCCGGAAATACAATCAGTGGTAAAGAGAGATGATATTTGTTCCACGACCGACCGTTTCGCTTTGAAATTTCCAACATCCGCATAATCTCGATAGTTAGCGGACAAACAGCTCCATTCCATTTCACCACTTGCGCAAAGTTTAGAAGAAATTATTCGATTTTGATGACAAATGATTTTTACGAGTGTTCTAAAATTATCTTCTTATTTTCGAACGATATCACATATATCATTAATCAGAAGAAATAAACTTTCTGAGGTGTTTCGAAAATTTATCGGGCCGCAGGATCACAATTGCAGTTGAATGTATGTCGTGCTGAAGTTTCAACTATCGAAGTATCGAGACACGTCGACTTTGCAAGTTCAGCTTTCGAAAGACCCAGTGGACATCTTGCTTCATTTCGCGTAGATTTACTGTGCGATTGAACGCGTTAGCGGAATTCGCGACGTAGAGACGTAAAGACAGAGGCGCTCTGAATTCATAGGGAACCGCCTTCGAAAGGAGCCTGTATATATAAAACTACAATCGCCACTCAAAGCCTGTCAGGAGAGACTTCGCTCCGTTACGGATCCGTTTATCCGACAAATCCAGTGATCATCTGTTCGCCCAACACGCTCCATGGAATCCTGTAGCAGCGAAAAATTTCCCTGACAGAACGCATCGGTCATGGAATAAAAAAAAGGGATAACAAACGGCGTAAATGGCGCGAAGCGGATAAAGTTTCAACTACTCGTGATATCTGCGTTTGAAGAATTACGTCTACATCGGAAAATCTGCCGGAGAGATCGATCGCGCGTTCAAATTGTCCCATCTGAAGAAAAAAGAATCTTACACGGTAGGAGAGAGAGAGGAACGAAGATCGTTGAATAAGATGGGAACACTGTACGGCGATAGCATGCATCGTCGTTAGAGATTTCGTTCTTGAGAGTTCTTAAAAGACAAATAGTGAGCGTCTCATTAAATGACGACAGATAGGTGAGCGACAAGATAGATAGGGGACGGGTACGTGGCATGTCGGTTCACGACGACGGCTACGGCAGCAACAACGACGGCAAAGAGCAGTGGACGATGTGGATGGCAGCGCAATGCAGCAGCAGCAGCAGCAGCAGCAACATCAACGACGAGAACGGCAGCAACATCGAGGGTTGCAATTAGTGCCAGCTCGCAACGGCCGCGAGACAACGTAACGACTGAAGGGGGGGTCGCCGACCGTTAGGGGGTCGAGGGTGTGTGCAGTGCGCGTGAAAGGGGGACAAAATGTGGTGGAGGTGGCGGTGGTGGAGTGTCGTGACTACGACGACGACGATGCTGGTCTTGGTAGCCGCATACTCGCCGCCTGTGGAACTATCCGATCTGGATAAGCCAAGTGAGTAATGCCGCTCCGTTACGTCACTAGTTATGCCTGATTTACAACTGAGCTTAACCCTTTCGCTACGTCGGAGTCGAAGCACGAGGTGCTTGCAACCGACAAATGTGCCGGTTTACTGGTGTATCAATAACACGGGAGAGAGAGAAAGAGAATTTGTTAGAAACGCTAGTTGGTATTATGGTACTATGTTGTACCATCGCGCACGATGTATTATTGATCACATAAAAGTTAAAATTTCTCTAGAGAACAGAAAATTCTTTCGTCGTAAAATATTATAGTACTTCTATTTTCTATCACGCCTAGGAATTTCACTGCAATGAAAGTGTCAAGGTATTCTATAAGGCTTCATGCCGCGCCGCGTAGTATTTTGCGGGTCGAAGATCGTGACGCAACGAATTAAATCAAATCTCCACGGTCCCTCGTCACGAGGTTGTTATGAACTTTAAACAGCAGATTATTATCGTCGACTTCATCCGAGGAAGTTTTGCTCGACCGCGTTCCGGCTTCGCCCTCGAGAACATCGACTCCACGAAACTCAAGTATGGTGTAGTCGATAAAAGGGGATATAAATGGAAAGGTGCTTCTGAATATCATTAGCAAGGTTCTCCAATGTCCCATAATTAAACGGGCAATTCGCACCCATCGAAACTGTGCTTGGGGCACTACGGAATGTGCAACGTGCCGCGACGCCGACAGTTACATACGAGTATCGAAAAATTAAAATAACACACGGTAGGTTATTTTATCGCAGTCGGATCTTCAATGTAAATCATAATTGTAAGAATTTTAATCCGACTGGTACGCAGCCGCGCATACCATGATGCATATCATTAGCGATATGAATACTGTTCTGTGATTAAAATCTCTCGCACTATTACATAGTAAATGTGTTCGTAATTGTGTTCATCAAATGACATACGCGTACGCGATTTCAAAGTAACGTAGAACAAGGAGAAATAGATTTTAGAGAGCAAGAGCAATTTTAAACAATTATTCAAATTAATCATCTTCAATATTACTTAAATTTCGAGTAATTTTCAAAATCTAATTAATATTATATGCGATTTATGAATAATCTCTTTTTTTTCTCTTTCTTTTTCTAGTATGAGAAAGTTTCTGAAGATACGTCAATTATGTCAGAATTATATCATTAATATAGACAACAGTATTTAGGTCTTCATAAATTACTAAAACCATAAACGCAGATGAGCTCGTAAATGTCAAAGATCTTTTACGAAGCAGGAAACTAATGTTGAAATTACCTTATAACGTTATCCTTGGACGATGAGCAATATTATATTAATAACCTAATGTCTGACGTAACCAAACTAAAAATATGATTACATATTTTTCCAGCATTATTGACTACTTGGTGTATTTAGAATAGCCGGAAGAGTAAATGAGAAACTTTCGCGGATCGATTATTAGAAAACTTTTGCCATCGTGTCCATTTCGCTGTGCGCGCATCTTATTATACTCGGCGCTTTGTAGGTAATATACGCTTCCTAAAATTAATTTAACATCCTGCTGGATTAACGATAAAGAAAATTGTAGGACGAAGGTATCCGATCGATTCAGGCACAGCACGTAGGAGAAGGCTTAGGTAAGAGAATGACGGCTAAACTAGTTTAATTAAACCACGGCGCTAAGCCCCTCTTAAATTTATAGCTGCGCGATAAAAAAGGATGTTCTACAGTGGGGACGTGAAGAGAAAAAATTGGAGTTTCAATAGCGGAGTTCGAGCTCGTTCGGCTGCAAGAGCGAAAATAATGTGACGCCAATTCTGCACTTTTGCAAAGTTCCTTTGAGAAAATTTTCAACCTACCGTGCCATCTATTTTCGTCTTTGTTTTTTTTTTATAAATGTTACATAAATACCAATAAACCGTTTTCCTTTTCACGTATTTAATTCCGATAGTCTATCTATAATCTGGAGTATATACAATTATTGATTTTCATTAATGACACTGGTATTTTGTAACAAAGGGCAAATACTCTTTGATATTTTCGCAAATTTTAACTCTGGTGATTTAGTGACTATCTTCAATGTCTATATTTACTGAGAGAATAGTGTAATATTAGGAATATCTGGGAATATTCAAATCATCACTGATGGCATATTGGATGACCAGAGGGACAAATGTTAGCTATAATTGACAATCACTGAGCATATTCCCTATAAATATAGAAATTGCTAATCCAATAATAGATTTATAGTTGTAGTATTTATGATTAATGTACGTACATATTTATGATTGACAATGAATCAATGACATTTATACATTTATCATTCCAATTACATGAATACATGTTATTGCGGAAAAGTAGTAAACGAGTCGTTTCTCAATAAATTAAATTTAGTTGGTAAAGAAATGTAAGGAACAGAAAATCCGCCCTTGGGTTTTGGAGGGAACAAAAATGTAACAAGTAATTTTCGGTTATTTCATAGAGAAATGCAATCACGCATGCAATTTATGTATAGTGTAAGAGACGCGTTACAGAATCGATCGCAGCAAGTTGATGCCTCAAAACTTTCGTCAGACAAATTTCATGGTCCGCCGTTGCCTTGGAAGAAATTTCAGAGTGCTTTCGAAGAAAATAAAGTACATATATATACGTATCGTTATCGACAACAAATTTCATACACGTATAATATAAGCAAGTTCTTGCAACTGTTGCTGATTCAAAGGCACTTAATTACGATCGAAATTACTCGACTTCGTTATACAATTACTTCACAGCGTGGCGAAACGTTAGCCTATGTTTTCATAAGGTTCGTCTAACTTCTACTTCAACAGGTGTTGCTAGCGGCGAAAAGACAACCGACGCGACGTGTACACAGTATACGCATAACTAACGCGTTGTGTTAATTAACGACGCTTTCATGTTTATTCGCATAGCATAAGACTTGATGCATCTATTTTGCCACGTTCCGGCATCGTGAAATAATGATATTCGATTTCTCCCTAATGAGACTAATCTCGTAGTCCAATACGTTAAAAAAAAAAACGGTGAATAAATGCCGGTGATGAGTGATATGTTTATTTTTATAGCGTTCTGTGGTTTTTACGTCTAGTACCGTATGCAGCGTGCACTTTCGGTAAATAACTGAAACCGCACAAACCAGAAAGACCAACTTTAATGTGCACATCATTGAGAAATGTACTTTGTAGTATAAAGAGGATCTTTTTATGCTATGTTTTTACAAACATGCTGCATCGTGAAATATAAACCAGAGCTTACCATGGCAGGCTAACGTTTTAATAGAAACTGCATAACAGTTTTCACCGGGTTACAATATATATAAAAAATATGTTACACAGAATCTAGTTCGTTTTAAAAACAACCTATTTTTTTACACACACAAAGTTTTAAAAAATCTAAATGCTAGTAAAGACAGCTTAGGATCAACTTTTAATAACTTTTTTCAAAAATTTTTTGTTATATTCAAAATATAATACCAACTTTTGTATCTTTCATTTCAAAAATCTCTCGCGCGCGTGAGATAAAAACATCTTTTTATCTATTTTAAAGATGCGGGAATTCTCGTCTAACAATAAAAGCTGTAAGAATGAAGTATTTCTGAGAATTTTTTTACATAAAATATTTAGGAAAACTATTTATTCACATTTTAAACTTTTAAGACATACCTAAATATGTTTTCTGAATAAGTATGAATATCTCTGAATTTTGGACTCCTTTCTTTATTATAATTCAACCAATGATGGTCTGCGGTGATTTATGACAGCTTTTATTTTCGTCCAATATGAACCTGAAATACATATTAAAAAATCAAAGTTCATTTTATTCGTTGAATGCTGTTGTTGATATTGAACCACTAAAATGCCTCAATGTATGAAAACGACAAAATGGTAGCCTGTCATAGTAAAAGTTAAACTTGATAAACATCGATATTTTTACTTTGACAGGCTGCCATTTTGTATTTTCCACGTTTTAGTGGTTCAATACAAAAAAAAAACCGTTTAACAAGTAAAACGAATTTTAATTTTTTTTATTTCAGACTCATAGAACGGAAATGAGAGCTCCCACAAATCGCCGCAGACCATCAGTGGTTGAAACATAATAGGGGGAGAAAGAGGAGTGAAAAAATTTAAAGATTTTTATGAAACATGTATCTTTTAAGTGTGTGTATAAAATGTTCAAACGTGAATGGTTTTTTTTATATTTCTAAAAGTACCTTATTTTTTTAGTTCTTATACGAGAATTTCTCTTAATTATAATTTCGTGGATTATTCATTCATTTCCTAGAAAGTCGGTATACATTCATTGTAGACTTTGAAACCCGTCTTTATAACAATAACACCTCTAACAGCACTTTCCAACAACAGCCCTTCGAAATTGCAACTACGGAATCGTTGTAATTAATTTTTTGTCGGCAAAATCGAAGCGAGGGCAACGACGGAATGACCACGAAATCGACCTAATGGGCGGCCATTTGTCATTCTTCATAGGGTAGAAGGTGGCATTGCGGAAGGGGTGAGAAGGGTCCTTTGCACGCTGCCGGCCAAGACGATAATTTGCACGCGATTTCATCCGTCGTATACACCTTCCGCGTCAGTGTATGACTTAATGGAAACATGGCTCAGCTCACTCCAGAATTCAGAAATAACAGAAGCTCGTAAAAGCGAATGCAACAGCCACTCTGCATTTTCGCGAATGTTATTCTACATGGCGATCGGTATATGTACGGGAATCGTAAAATAATTTTTAACGTAACGACACAGCCGATATTATTATATTTCTATTGTCGTTAAAAAATTATTTGTAGATCTCCTCAACGTCGTATCCTCGTGTGACGACCTTATCGAAATAATAGTAGAGATATGGTAAAAGCAGCATTATCGCGGATCTAAAACAAGGCGGAGACGATCAAGCGACATAACATGTATGTTTCATAACCGACACGCGAATACTCAACATAATCTCGAGTCTAATCCTGGAAAGATTAATTGGAATTAGCACTGCACCTGTTATTTT